CTGTCCGTGGTCGACTACATGGGAGTCCAGCGACATAGCCATTACGCTAACTGCTGGTCCCAATTCATTTTACTTTTTTTTAAAAAATTATTATTCGTACTTTAAATGGTTATACATCATTTAGATTGTGAAGATACTTTACCCAGCATGATATACACCTCAGTCCAGCCCAGCTGAGACCACCATAAACATCCTCATCAACAAAAAATAAATAAATCTTATCTGTGTCCCACAAGTGTCTTTCTCCCCAAATTTCCGATGCTCTTCCCCTCCCACACTCTATTTCCACTTTGTCTCTAGTGTCCATTACAATTTTTAATGCTTTTATGTTCTCCGTCCGGTCTTTCAGTCTCTACCATGGAGTGCGGACAGTCGGTATATGTTAAGTGGAGACATACAGTGTCTCTCTTTCATAGCCTGACTTGCTTCACTCAGCAACAAATCTTCCATATTCATCCACTTTCTATCAAATTCCAGGGCCTTGTTGTTTTTTATGACTGAATAGTATTCCATGGAGTATCTGTGTTACAATTTTTCAATCCATTCATGTGTCTGTGGACATTTGAGTTGGTTCCATGTCTTAGCAATTGTGAAAAATGCTACAATGAAAATAGTTGTGCAAGCGCTTCTCTGACTGAGCATTCTCCTGTCCTTTGGGTAGATACCCAGGAGTGGAATTGCTGGATCATATGGTAATTCTATTTGAAGGTCTTTCATTCTTACATGGAGAACACTGACTTTGCAGAAAGGTGTGAGGTTGACCAATGACATTCTTTTATAAGAAGGTCTGAGAAATAGATTCATCCTGTACTCTTGAACAATCTTAGGGGAAGCAATTATATAATTTCTTTTCTGGTTCAGATTCTATAAAATACACCCAAAGTTACTCATTATTGGTGTTTGGACCAATAAAGGCATTGGGAATAGGTATGAGCGTGGGACCAAAACCCAACTTTTCCTAAAGATGAAACTTTCAATTGGATATAGCTGAAAAACTCCTTAGAATGGTTTTCAAAAACTCCTCACACAAGTCTATGGGTAGTGCTTACTAGTTTTTTCCAGTTGTTTTCCAGAATGCAAATAGAAAAGGACATTTGCACAATTCTTTTTCACGTAATTATAGATATTTAAGGAAGTGAACTTTCATCTGGGCTCTCATGGTCCTTTCTTTCTCTCTCCCTCTCCCTCCAATTGGAAGAATTTTCTTTCTTCTTCTAATTTGCTATGTTAATATCACTTTGCCCAGACTGTATGTTAAAAACTGAGTAAATCAGTCTGCATATGTTAAACAGTAAAATGATAAGGTTTGCCTAGATCTCATGGTATCTGTGGAGTAAGCGAAGAGGTTTGTCGGGGAGAACATAGATGCTGTTTAACTTTTGCCCTTTGGAGAGTGGGATGACGTTCTTTCCATTTCTGGCATAAAACAATGGAATGGCAGACTTTTTCGTTGGACTAATGCCTTTAACATTTTATTTTCAGACATGTCAAACCCCCAAACGAGAGAAGATGCTGAGGCCTGCTGCCACAAACCCGTAGATCCGAACTTGTGGTGATAGTCCACACAAGCTTGTGTCTATAGGTCTGTGTCTGTTAGGCAATCTCACAAGCCGCGGGCTTTGCCCGTCCACCACTCAGTGCCCCTTCCAATTCTGCGATTCTTCCTCTCTTCCCGGTAGTTTCCTTTCACAGGGGTAGGAAGAGGAAAGAGGAGCTGATGTGGAGGAAGGAGCCCCTTTGCCCTGAAGTGGATGAAATCCCTCAGTGACTCAGTGGTAGATTTGCCCTCCGTCCCCATAGCTCGTCTAGCTGGTCTCAGCTGTCACATCAGGGGCTGGGCTTGCAAGTGAGGCAGCAAAAATTCAACTGAATCAGACAACTTACTGTTGAGTGAAGAAAAAATAGATACGTACACAAGGTGGGGTTTTGTTTTCTGTAAGCTTGACTGTTGTCAAAGTTATTATGAGCATTTTTGGAAAATGGCAGAGACTTGACAGGACCAAATTCACCCTGGTGTTGGGTTGTCCCTTGTGGCAATTCTTCCTCAAAAAGAAGATTGTTCTCTGAGTACAGCCAAATCAGCCCGTATCTTTACAAACAAGCATATTGAGAGAAATGGACGTGTTATAACTTCTTAACCATTTCTACTTCCGTAAATACCCAGTGGTTATAAGAAGGACTTTTAATAAGAAATTGCCTGTTTAGGTCCAAATTCTTACTTGGCCAGAGCTGTTTTTATAAGTCTTCATCATGTTTAAAAGGCTGGAATGAAAACAATTTTATCCCCTTGCCTCTTAAATGTCATCATTGTGCCAGGATTGGAAAGCCAAACTGACCACAGATCAAAGCAAAACTGGCTATATTGGTCTCACTTCAACAATGTGAACTGGGGAGTCAGTAAACAGAAGCCAGGGTGAAAAGTTGATCAGATTTGGACGACTCTTAGACTCTCTTGCATTACCTTTTGCTTAAACATTGTGCCAGGAATTCTCTTAAGATGTGTGTTTGTGTGTGTGTGTGTGTGTGTGTGTGTGTGTGTGTGCATGTGTGCACACACATATATGCATGCACCTTTTCTAACAACAACAAAAAAGTCAATATTGGATTGTTGGAAGTTATGACATGTTTTTACATAGAAAAACAGAAAATGCGTCATGACTTTACTGACAACCTGATTATTGGTGGGTTAAAAAAGTTCGAGATTCTGGTAGAAATAGTTTGTCTCCTCTTAAGACCCCCACATTTCTGGGATAGCTAGAACTCTTTTCTTCTATCAAGTGAAATAAGAGCTAAGTTTCAGAATTAGGAAGGCCTAGATATACAACTCGCACACATGCACACACACGTGTGTGCACACGGACTCTGTAAATGCTAGACTAAGGGGATAGCATTTATATGCAATTCCTTTGTTTTTGCTTTGCATGCACTTGAGGAGGATTGTCTGTAGATCTTAATTTCCAGCTTGCCAAGAAATCATTGCTTGATTATGGAGTGACTGAACATTATGTCCAGAGGAGAAAGACCGTCCTCATTGGTGTGTACCATAAATCATTGTTTGCCCAAGGCCTTTGTCCTCCCACATTTATTTGGAATAAAGACACTGGCAGCAAATTAAACCTATACCTCTGCTGGATGAACACTTGTTTGATGAGGACAAAGTCTCATCTCTACTTCCAGTCCCTTCAACCTGCTGTTAAAAGTGCTACCCGTGGGATTAATGGTAGAGTGCATGGATCCGTGAGACCACGAGCTTCCAGTATTCCTTGCATAGGCACAATATTAGTACTGCAGAATGGCCAGTAGGTAACTGCTGGATTATTTCTTTCAAGGAGGTTTTTAAAAAACCCATTATTCCAAGAAAAAAGATTATACAGAGCAGTCGACCTTTCAAAGTTTCTAAAAGGCCTTAAACTTTATTTGATTCATCTGGTTAGAAAATATTCTAGTGGAAAGCCCAAAGCCCCTGGACATTGGCCACAAGAAACAGGATATTAAATATTTTACATGATGATGAAATTCAGTATTTTTCCCTTCCCCTATGTTCGTGAATGAATGGCTCTCTAGATAGTAATTATTCCTTTGAGGCTCCCTCAGAGTGTACCAAATATCCTACAGGAAGCATGCAGAAAGTAAAATAACTTCAGGATCTCCCCAGAAAGGCATTAAAAGTATATTTCGATAGCCATTATTTTATGGCATTAGAAGATAAAGCCATTGTTATAAAGCCAATTATTTTATTAAAATTCTCAAATTATTACAATAAAATATGTTTGTTAAGATGTAATGCCAAAACATAGTTTAGATTTATTTTTAATTAGCAGAAACATTTTTTATTCTTAGAATTGCATTTGATAAAGCAGTTCACCTGGTATCACTGGAGGCTGGGGAGGGAAAAGCAAGCTGATGTTTAACTTTGAAAGGGTTTCTTGTTTATATTTTAGAATTAAAAATGTACTTCTTTACATGGGAATCAAATGGTACATGTATGATGGAATTAACTTCGAGTTTTACATTAATATGATTTTTAAATTTTTAAAATGTGCTTATCAGTCATTTCTCATTATTTATTAGGTCCTATGGATCTTTGTCTGCTGTCTATGGTATTTAACCTCATCAAATATCACCTCGCCTCCCTATTCAGGTTATAAAATCTTCTTATGCCTGTAATAGTGCTGAAATTGTACAGAAAAGTCAATGTAAATGACTCTTCAAGATCTTCAAGAAATTTATTGGCAGCTAAAGTAATGGTTTATAAAGTATGCAGTGGGGAAAAAGGCCACTTTATTTTTGGTGTAGCATAAGGGTAGAAAAATTAGGATTTATTCATTCTCTCATTCAATCAACAAACCTTCACGAATTCTTCATATTCAGCATTTTCGTAAAGGATAAAGATATGCTTCTGACTTCAAAAATCTGATTATATAGTCAGAAACCCCTTTGCAGAACGCATGTCAGTAATACAGACACATGTTTTAATCACAGCATTTGTCCAACTTCCAAATACCTAATTAAATACAAAATATGTTTCTTAATGGGAGACCCTGCTTTTTCCTAATTCCCAATTCTCATAGCA